ACTAAAACTAACTGAAATTATAGATAGAATATCTTTAATTTTAGTGTTTGTCAATTTATTTTGAGTCATGTGGATCTTTTAATTTTTTTTTCTCAAATTGAGTAGTTTCACATTAGCTGTTGTCCATAACAACACCTGTTTACAATCTGCTGCTCAGCATCATCTGCTAAATGACGACAACAAAAGTTGAGAGAAAGCAGCAACGTCCACTTTGGGATTTCTTTGACTATAGTGCGAGAGAAATCAAAGCAAGTGTCTTGTAGTGGAAACAGGTGATAAAACAGGTGGGATACTTGTCAAGGGAAAAACTGCATGAATCAAGCTCACACAGGATGGCTAACTATGACTATCTGACACGCTAGCTTCTCTCAGTAGCTCCTGTGAAAAACAAGCACCATGATAGAGACTCTAGTCATTGTCCTAAAATAATCACCCAAGTTTTTAGCTGGCTAAACTGAGTTACACAATTATTTTAGGAAGGTGTTGCTATAAAGGACTGCTTTAACTAGTGAACAAATAGCTGCTGGTTAGTGAACTCACAGGAACATCACAAGCTGGAGGATGCATTGGCAAATATGTTTATTCAAACTATAAAAAACTAATACTAGAACTAATAAAAACTATACTAAACTAAAACTAAGCATTAAAAATGCAATAACTAATAAAAACTAGCAAATCCACTGTAAAAACTAATTAAAACTAACTGAATTAAAAGAAAAAAATCACAATAAAATAAAATTAAACTTTAATGAAAAATCCTAAGCTATTATAACCTTGGTGTGAGCAGCAATCGTACCGCTCCTCCCTGGCTGAGCAGCCAACACGCACCTCCCTGGACCTGGAGCTGGATCTCCAGGCCTGCAGGACTCGTCAGAAGCAGCTGATGGAGGAGCTGAGCGCCCTGAGAGAACTCAAGCTGCGACTGGAGGAGCCAAAGTCCAGCAAGGCCGCGGAGCTCCCAAACTGGGCCCTAAGGGACGAGCGCTTCCGCCACCTGCTCCGAGAGGCCCAGAGACAGGTAAGTGTCAGGTGTGCAGATCAGATCTGGTCCTGAAGCAGCAGCTGACTGCCCCCCCCCCTCCCCTCCACACACACACAGGCTGGCCAAAGCAAGCAGGAGCAGCGTCAAGAGGAGGCAGCAGAGCGGAGGCTGAGGAAGGCTTCTAAAGAGGTTCTGCAGATGAGAGGACAGAGCCAGAAGGAGCCACTGCCCGTGCAGACATTCAGGTTAGATTATCAGATTATTATAACAGACTGGTTTACAGCAGGCAAACTTTACAGCCTTTACAGCAGTAAAATCAACCCACACTTTCAGGAAATGTAACACGAACAGATTTTACAAAAATAGACGACGCAAAGGAACCCAGATCTCTCACACACAAACATACTCACAGATCAGCTGCAGCTGATCAGCTGCAGCTGATCT